TTTTTTTTTTTTTTTTTTTTTTTTTTTTTTAATAAAAGAAAAAGAGAGGGACTAATACACGTGAAAAAGGAAGAAACACCTGAAACAGACCTAAACCCAAGACTGGAATTGTTTGTTATACTGCGTTATTGCAGCAATAGCACAATTATACTTTTGTTTGTTTGTTTGTTTTTCCCTTCCTTTGCCGAACTAATTCATATTCTAGGACGAGGCATTCTCTTTGCCTGGGATACTTTGCTGCTCCTGAACACCCTCACTTACTTTTCCCCAATTCTTCAATAAGATAATGTGTGTTTGCTAATTAGGTTTCAGCTTAAATGTCAGTTCTTTAGGAGAAAGAGAAGCCTGGTTTAACTCTCAATATAAATTACAACACTTCTTTGTATTTGCTGTTCTGGTAATTTGTCTATATTTTTTTGTAGTCCTTATTACAATCTGGAGTCATATTTATTCATGGATTGGCTTAATGTCTTTCTTTCTCTCCAGACTATGAAGATGAAGACCACGTTTATTGTGTTCATCACCACAGAGGCAGTTTGCATAGCAGTTAAGGATGCTGGTTCTCGAACCAGGTAAAAATTCCAGCTTTGCCACTTGCTAGCTGTGTGACCACTGACAAGCTGTGTTACTTAACTGTTTGATCTCAATTTCTTCACCCTTACAAGTGGTGTGTATTAGTCCATTTCTGTTGCTTATATTAGAATACCTGAAACCAGGTAAAAATTCCAGCTTTGCCACTTGCGAGCTGTGTGACCACTGACAAGCTGTGTTACTTAACTGTTTGATCTCAGTTTCTTCACCCTTACAAGTGGTGTGTATTAGTCCATTTCTGTTGCTTATATTAGAATACCTGAAACTGGGTAATATATAAACGAAATTTTTTTCTTACAATTTTGCAGGCTGGGAAGTGCATGGTTCAGGGGGAACATCTAGTGACGGCCTTCTTCCTGGTGGGGTATCTCTGCAGAGACACAAGGTGTCACTTGGTGAGAATGGGCTGAGCAAGAGCACTAACCTCCTCACTTGGTCTTCTTATTAAAACATCAGAACCATACCCATTATTCCATGAATGGATTAATCTACTCATGAGGTCACAGTCCTTATAATCTAATGACTTCTTAAAGGCTCCAGCTTTCATATACCACGATTGGTTTCCCACCCTCTTAACATTGTTACCATGGAGGTCAGATTTCCAATACATGAAATTTGGGGGGACACATTTAACTCATAGTATGAAATAATAATAGAAATTACTTCACATTTTTTAAATGCAGAATACAAAGATGCATGTAAATCAGAGTTCTTTGTCAACCTATGCTATTGTCAGTGTTATTTTTTATCATCCTGAATACCTCACACAGTTTCTGCCCTTAGGACTCACTCTGTAAACAATTATTCGATGAATGAATGCATGCTGCCCTCCTATTATGGCAGTTATGCAACAGAGTTTTGTCCTTGATATTCAGGTAAAAATGTGATGGGTCAGTAGAAGCCTAGTAACCCTGCAGATTTCTGAGCTCAAAGACGATTATCAATAGAATATCAGCATCTTCCTCCTCATGCATTTTCTAATGGAAAGCATCCTTAGTGTGTTCACTGATGGAGCCTTTCTTCTAGGGAAGGTGGCAGCTATGCACCCTGCTGCACACATGGATAAGACAAAAGATAACTTGAGGAAAGCAGCATCTGTTGGAGAAGAGCAGGATGAATCTTGTGAGTTCCTGATTTCTTGCTGGATTTTTTTCCACTGTATTATCTTGAGGCTTGGGAGATAGAAAGAATGAAGATAGGGTCCTAAATGAAAGAAATGGGCATCTTCATGGGTGAAGTATTTCAATACTCATGTGTATATGACTCTCTCAGATGTGAGATCTCCCATTGGCCAAGCCCCTTAGTCCTAAGCCTTTCTCTAAATTTGCTCTCTGTACTTTTATCCTGGCAATATTGTAGTCCAGGTGGTCAATGTCCCTCCCCATGGGTTTATTATTTATATTTTGCTGGTTCCTCTACACTCTTGGTTTTGAGTTCTTAGGAGTCACTAGTGTGGAGTCAACAGTTCTCTTGTGGTGTAGGAAAGTCTCCTGGCCATGAAGCCTGGAGAACAGTTAGGAAAACACTAAACACTGATTTAATATAAATAGGAATATTACAAGTTGAAAGATTGACTACCTCTATTAAGCACTATTAGTCAGAAATTGCACTGCATATGTTCAATCCATTTACTGGAAAAAAATGTATGTAGAGACTCTAGACTTGTTAGTGTAATTAAAAGCATCCTTCTAGTGAATTTTAAAGCATCCCATTTACTTAGTTTTCAGGTCCCTATACTTGTTAATCAGTCTGTCAAGCATAATAGCCTTTTCGGGCTGGAAGTATTTAATCCTGTGTGAATGGACTTATCAGCATGTCTTAGAAAGACAATGTATGACTTCCTGGCAAATAAATGGCTGCAATTAGGTAGTAATTATTCAGTGTCATGTTACTATGATTTTAAAAAACCTGTCAGGCTAACCTGTGGTAGAGGGACTCAGAAGTTATAAGTGAGAGTTCAGAACAAGATTTTACATTCTGGGGTGGGAGAGTTCTTGACCCCAGGGTCTACTTCTGAAATCTCCAAGTCCATCCTTACTAACAAAACCTAACTGTGGCACCTGACTCAACGGACCCTGTGGAATGTACAGCTGACATGGTACCCAAGTCCTAGGAAGAGTAAAGTAACTTTTGGCTTTACAGTTCCCTGGTATGTTTGCTGATGTTAGAGTCTTGTGCCCCGTAGCTACCAGGGGACCAGATTCCTTGTATTTCTGCATGAGCAAAGGCAAATATATTGAGAGTAAAATTAGGTATCTTAGCTTTTTGTGTTATGATTTGCTTTTTTGCTCCCCATTTATAAGGAACCATCAGTAACAAAACTAATTTTGAATAGGAGCAGAATTGCTAGAGTGTCTGATTTCCCAATAGATATGAAATCAAATTTATTTTGTCCTGACTTTTGGGAATATATGTCAGAATCACACTGTGATTCAGAACTACATTGCAGATAAAAAGTACGTGCTTTTTGAGTTAGGTTTTAATGATCTGTGGGAAAAAATCAGTCAGGATACTATGGGCTGCTGTAGGGCTATTTGAATCTGAAAGACAATCTTCAGAATCTAAATCTTAACTTTAGTCTTAATCTGAAAATCAAAGATTAGCCTGAACTAGAGCATTGTAGAGACCTGAACATTACTCAGTCCCCAGGAGGACACAGCAATAATTTTGAGACTATAGAAGGGTGATGGAAATTGGTTTCATCTACTCCTGATTTGTAGTTGTTCCTTGTTGAGAATGGTTCAACCAGTGAGAACATGTGTCACTTTGCTCAGCAATATCTTAACATGGACACAGACTGGACATATGTTATAATAAACCTCACTGGTTCAGGTGAGAAAAGTTGAAAGGCAGATCTCAACCAGGTCAGCCTCTGGTGGTTCTCTACTATCTTGCAAAAGCAGAAAATCAGTTCTGGTTATATTTCAGAGACATTGTGATATATGGAAAGCAAATGGATTTTGGTGTTGGATCTAATCGTTGATACTGGTTCTACCAGTTAACTGTGAGAACTTGGGCAAGTCATTTAATGTTTTCTAGCCCACTTTACCATACTGATAGCCAAAAGAATCTACTCTGACCAGGGCCTCTAAATTATAGTGCCTTGGGTGATCTGGGATAAGTCAATAATCACATCCACCTGTCCTGGAAAATGTTATCTTAAGACCAATACCTCTTATTACCTTTATCCTACATCCCTGCATGTAGGATGTAATCCACTAACAATTACAAATCTGTATGTCATATACTACCAGTAGAAAGCCTGATGAAGTAATTAGGTGTGGCTCTCTTGCTCTCTCTATCTGTCCTTTGATCCTTCTCCCTTCCTGTGATTACAAAATGTTAAGCTTTGTTGGCCCTCTTTGGAATGCATTTTTCAGGGCTACCTGATCTGTGTCTCCCTGATTACAATAGTCATATTGGATCTATAGATCCTTGGTGTATGTATTTGGTCTCAGTTTCTTTTTAGGTCAACAATACAAACTTTGTCAATACTAATATTTCTTTCATTCAGTTACAGCAATGTTAAAATAAAAAAAAGTACTAAGGCACAGTGTTGGCATCTACTAAGTTACTGAGGAGGGTGCTACTATTAAATCAAGCAAACAAATAAGCAAACAAACAAACAATCTTTACAGGAATAATAGGCAGCTCCTAGCCTTACATTTAAATAAATGATAGGGATTAATTTTGCTTTAATTTGAGCAAATAGCTCTTCAAACATATTTTCAAATAGGTAAAATAATGACTCCAAAGAATATATAAAATGAACCTGTGTAAAATATTTTATTTTATTGAATACTTAATAAGAAATCTACTAACATGTCATGATTGGTTCAAAGAATGTTTAAGAAATCCAAGTAAATATAAGCAACATTTATATATAGTTTACAGATAACATGCAAAAGCTGGTTAATGTCCAACAGTGACATATTTTGGGGGGAGTTATCTGTTTCACCAAAGGGAAATTACTTGCATCTCTACCAGGACAAAAACAATTCCGCTGAGTCTGAGCTTATTAAATGGTATGAAACAAATGACTTCCTAGTTGATTTTCTACATGTTATTTGACAGCAGGTCTTAGTTTTTCACTGGATGTTCAGATTTGGCTAGAGGGCTCATTGTTTGGCTACTGGGCCACTCCATCGGGCTGCTTGCATTTTTTCCTGAAAGAGAGAAAGAGAAAGAGAAAAATAATGAGAGACAGCGAGCGAGTGAGCAATGCCTTTTAATTTTATGACTCATCCTAAAAATTCACACATCATTACTTTTGTTTGTAAGAAGTAAGTCACTAATTCCAACTCATACTCACTGGGAGTTAGACATTACATTTTGAGAGGGAGTTTGTTAAAGATGAATTTGTGAAGATATTTTAAAAGCACCAACATAAAAAAGCAACCTCAGTGGTTTAAATCTCAGTGGTTTTAAACAATAATAGTTTATTCTTACTTATGCTATGTCTTCTGCGAGGGTCAGTAGAGAGGTTTTGTTTATTGCAATCACTTAGAGGCACAGGCTAAATGAAAACCACCATCTTAAATAGTGCAGTTCTCAGTGGAAAAAGAGAAAAAGATATTTGAAGTCTTCAACCAGCTGTTAAAGATCCCATCTATATCATATTAATAAAATAAAGGACAAAAACCACATAATCATCTCTGTGGACCCAGAAAAAACTGTTTGACAAAATCTAACACCTCTTCATAATAAAAGAACACTTACTAAATAAGGAATAGAAGAGAGATTCCTCAACCTGATAAAGAGTATTTACAAAGAACCCACAGCTATCAACATTGTTAAGAGTAAAAGCTTAAACTATTTTCTCCTAAGATCAGAAATAAGACACAGATGTCCACTCTCATAACTTTTGCTCAATATTTCCTCGAGATTTTTAGCCAATGCAATGAGGTTAGAAAAAGCAATAAAGGCATCTGGTTTGGAGCCAAAGAAGTTAAACTATTTATATTCAAATATGATATGTATGGCATTGTGTATAGAACATCCTAAGGAATCCACAAAAATATTATTATAATTAGTAAATTAGTTCAGCAAGGTTTCAGGATACAAAACTAATGTACAAAAATAAATTGTAATTCTATACAGTAACAATGAACAATTAAAATAATTTTAAGAAAATAATTTATAACAACAGTACTAGAAAAGTATACAGTAATTATAAGTACATTTTAAAAAGAAAATATAAAACTTGTGCACTCTAAACTAGAAAACATTGTTGAAATAAGTTAAAGATATAAATAAATGAAAAAAAATCTAAGTTCATGGATTAGAAGACAATATTGTTGAGATGGAAGTACTCCTAAAATTGATCTGTAGACTCAATGTGATGTCTATCAAGATCTTAGCTGGCTTTCTTATATAAATCAAGAAGCCTATTATAAAATTCATATGGAGACACATGAAAATTATAATCTCCAAAACAATTTTGAAGAATAACAAATTTGGAGGACTTATGCTTTCCAATGTTAAGCATTACACAGCTGCAATAATCAAGACAGTGTGGCATTGGCATAAAAGTAGATATACAGATCTATGGGATAGAATTAAGAGTCCTGAAATATACCCTCACATTTATAGTCAGTTGACATTCAACAAGGGTGCCAGACAGTTAAAAGGAGAAAAACAGTCTTTTCAACAAATGGTGCTGACAACTATATATTCACACGTAAAATAATGATGTGGTACCCTTTTCTTACACCACACACAAAAACGAACTATAAATGGTCCATAGACCTTAATTAAAGAGCTAAAGCTATGGTACTTTTTTAAAAAAAGTATTAGATTAAATTTTTGTGTTCTTGGTTTAGGCAAAGCTTTCTCAAATACGACACAAAAAGCCCAAGTGACAAAAGATAAAAAAAAAAAATAGATGAAGTAAGTCCCATTAAAATTAAAAACATTTATGCTTCAAAAGACACCAAGGAAAGTGAAGAGACAACACTCACAGTAGAAAATCATGTATCTGGTAAAAGACTTTCATCAAGGATATGTAAAGTAGTCTTACAACTCAATGGTGAAAAAACAAGTAATCCAGTTAAATGAATAGACATTTCTCCAAAGAAATATGTAAGTGGCCAATGCACACATGGAAAAATATTCAACAATTTAGTCATTAGGAAAATACAAATAAAAACTACCGTGTAACTCCACTTCATAATGCACAAGGATGGCTATAAGCAAAAAGGCAGATAATGTGTTGCTGAGAATGTGGATAAATTGGAATTGTTATTGATTGCTATTGGAAGTGTAAACTGGTTCAACCATTTGAAAAACGTTTTAAAATTTCTTCAAATGTGAAACATAGACTAATCATATGGCTCAATTTTACTCCTAAGTATATACCTAAAATATATGAAAACACACACCCGCACAAAAACAGAGCCTGATGCATAGCCAGTGTTCAGTAAATTTTTATTTAACATATTAATAAATGTGTTAGGTCAAAAAATCATTTACAGAACAGATATGATGTTGATGGAGAGAGGAGAGAGAGGAAGGGAGGAAAAGGAGGAATTGATAAAGGTACACAAAAATCAACTATATTGTATATCGATAAGTTAAAATAAAATAAATTAAATCATTCACAGACTGTAATTTTGTGAAATTCTGGCAGAATCAGAACTTGTGTATAGACAATTGAGCGCTACTTTTTTAGAAATTTTTTTCATCAGAAACGTGCTGATATAGTGGAGGAATCCTAATTTCAGATCTTTTTTTTTTTTTTTCTGTAATATGCTCACACTTTTCAGACTATTGACCTCATTCTGGGTTCAGAGAATCTATTTTCAGTCATCCTCGACCAAACAGAGAGGATAACATATCATTGCCTTGGGATTACGGGAATTTTTGAAATGAACTGGCTTTAAGGATCCTGATATTAAAGGCCAGGCTGGAGTGCAAGCCAACTCTTCGTTTGGATTTCAGGTTTTGGAGGTTGAAGCCCCCACCAGGCTGCATGCTTGTTTCACAGCTCGCTCTTGAACCTGATCAGGTTGGGGTGAGAGGAGATGGTATGCTTATGATGGAAAAGGTCAATTTTATTAAACAGTCAATTCAGTGGCATAGAGCCCCCTCATAGTGTGGAGTGGGGGAAACCATAGCAGTTTGCCCATAGTCTTAGGTCCATGAATAGCCTTTAACTTGGAGTTCTGGGGAAGAGTGTGCAATCCTGGTGCTGAATGACACCCAGGTATACCATTTTCTGGACTCCATCTTCATCCCTTGAGGAGGCACTGGAAGAGTTATTCCTGAAAATATTACTTTCCAGCTCTGTCCATGTAAATTCAGCATTGAGTCCACAGATACTCCTGCCAGGATCTTGCCTGTAACCCAGAGAACAGTTACTCATGTCATGAGCCAGGGGTCCATCTCTATCTTTTCCACCCTGTAGTTAGTTGCAGGAATAGATCTCACAAGACATAAAAGAAATGTCTCCAATGTTTGTTTTTCTCCAATATTTCCAGTCACCTGATTCACAGGTCTTTCTCATATTTTTTCAACCTTACCAAATTAATCTCTCTTAACCACAATACGGCAGGTATAGATATAGGACACAGAGCAGGAGGGACTAAATGGATTTAGTCAACAATGGAAATTTAGGGATAATACAGTAGATGGTGTCTATTGGGAAACTTACAGCAGGAAGGGAGATAGAAAGTAAAGGTGTAGGTGAGGGGTTTTCCAGTAAGGACATCAAGGAAGACTTCAATTAGCAGGTGACAAACATCTGAGAGAAGTGCTGAAGGAGGGGAGAGTGTGCTAGTATAGATTTCACAAAGAAAAGCATTCCTGGTAGATGGGTGAGCAAGTGCCAAGGTCCTGGGGTAGAAGCATGCCTGGTGCATTAGAAGAACAGCAATAAATTCAGTGTGGCTGGAGTAGAGTGAAAAGGAGGGGAGACAAGTGAGGCGAGTAGGCAGGTAATGGCATGGCAGGCAAGAGGTAAAGATGTGTAAAGTTGATCGTGGGGATTTTGGATTTAATGTGAATGAGAAGAGAATGTATCATTATCTGGAACAGAGTAGTGACATTATTCAACTGTAGTTAAACAGGAGTGCTCTGGCAATGGCATGGAGAAAATAAAGAGTCAGGACACTGGCAGGGAGACAAGTTAGTAGATATTACTGCCACCCAGTCAAGAGGTGGTGATGGGCTATATCAGTGTAGAAGATGAGTCCATGGTGAGAAAGTGAGAGGATTCTGTGTATTATTTCCAGGTAGAATTTATGGACCCTCTTGATGAATAGCACATGGGCTGTGAGCAAAACGAGAGGCAAAAATGATCAAGGTTTTGTCCTGCCAACTGGAAAGATGGAATTGCCATTGGCTGAGGTGGGGAAGGCTGCAGGAAGAGTGCATGGAGGGGTATAGATTGGTGGAGGTGACACCAGAGTTTAGCTTTAGACATATTCATATAGAGATGTTTATTTGATATCTAAGTGGAGACAATGTATTAGTAGTTGGATAAAGGATTCTTGAAGTTAGGAGAATATTGCGGCTGAAGATATAAACTCCGTGATTCTTATTCTTATACCTTTAAACGATATATCTGTCCCAAATCACTGAAATTCCCCCAAGCATTTCCAGAGAGCTGTCTGTGGCCTCTTCATATTTATTGGTTTAGGTAAATCTGAGTGCTTTTGTGATCTAGTGTTATTCAGCCAGCCCACTCTGGGTCTGATCTTCACCATATTGGCTATGAACTAAGTTCCGCTGTGTAATTGTTAGTGCACTACACTGCCTTCGGAATTGTAAGTACAATGCTGCTCTTTATGCATGATGGTATTGCTGAGATGTCACTCGGGCAATTGCCACAAGTTTCTTTTTCCCCAGATGCAACTTCTCCATTGGACACTAGCATGACCTCTATGGGGCTGAGAGTACAGGTGACCTCATGGCTGCTATTGAGAGCCTAGCCAGCTACCATTCCCAATGCATGAACATATGTCCCTGGCCTCAATAGTGTCTGCTCTCTATTGGATGAGCCGTTCTGTCCTTTAGGAAGTAAAAATGACTCAGCTAATAAGACTCATGCAATGCAGGGACACAACAATTTTACACAGATAATATGGGAAATGTTCCACACTCTGATAATCCATTTTTAAAGTAATTTGAAGATCCTGTGTATGACTTCGCTTTTTTATTTTTCCTTTTGATATGCAATTATGTCATGCACGAGTTCAGGGACACAGAAGGAATAAATATAGAATCAAAGAATAAATGAATGTGTATTATATATAGGCTTCATAGGCTCTATCCAACATGGGGATCCAGAGTTAAACCAATCAGGTGGTGAACCCTGATGTCTCCACTTCATAGCTCTTTGACCTGCCTATGCCTTGGTCACCTCTTCTAGTCGTTGACATGGTAGGCTAGCACTTGCTGGCCTCCTTAATATTAGACAGGGCCTTGGGACTATGTCTGGCCAATGGGTTATTGGTGGAAGCTAAGTGTGTCACTTTTGGACTTGAAAATTTAAATCCCAGTTGCAAAATCCCCAGAGATCTCTTTTCCCTTCAAGTCCAATACCAAATAGTCTAGATATAGAATGGTGTGCATAATTTGCATTATGTGTATAAAAATGGGGCAAAAAAGGCACATAACTATTTATTTGCTTGTAGATGCATATGATATCTCTGAGGATAATCAATAACAAACAGTAGGGTCTGGATCAAAATATCCCAATTCCACTATCAGAGAAATCCATAAACCTTCACCTCTTGCACCAGAAAGAGTAACTCACAAGATGTAACCACCTGCCCTCTGTGTGTATTGATACAATCTGTTATAATATTTTTAAAGCAAACTAGAATGAGCTTGTCTATCTTAGGGAGATTTAAATAGAAATGACTGCACCCATGATTAGTTCATGTAATACTATATAATAGTGTTTTCATGCAGGGTGGTGGCTAACAGGAATAAAGAGAGATAAAATATTCTTAAAATTTGTATCCAAGGAACAATGTAAGATCATGTGTGTGCTGTCATATCCTGGAGATAACTTTGACATATTGTCAGAAAAACAGAGGCATGGGAAAAATAAATGTTTGGCAAGTGTTTAGTGTTTCTGGTTTCATCATAATGATGTTAATGAAACCAAACTGTAGAAGAGGGTGAGCTGTTTATGTGAGAATCAGTTGTACATTTAGCAACTGAGAAAATGGAGGTCTCTAAATTACGTGCCCATTAACATTATTTTCTGCTCCCAGGATATACTGGCTTTATGAAAATATAGGGTCACTCATGCCACACTGCAAGGGAGATTCTACTTTTAAAATGAATCTGCAGTGACTGTAGTTGAAAGGTGAGATTGTATGCATCCGTGCACACACACACAAACACACACACACTCTCATTTGCATGATTTAACCGTCATGTAAGTAGTGATATTCTGTGCATGTAATTTTGCAACTTGCTTTCATTGTCTTGGTCTTATATATATATACCTGTGGTGAAAGATGTAGTTCTACTTAATGCATTTTAAAATAGCTGTTTGGTTTCTTATTGTATCAATATACTACACATTTTTATCCATTGTCTGATTTATGGAAAAGTAGGTGGCTTTCATATTTCTGTGATTTTAGACAGTGTTGCTAAACATTCTTATGTGTATCTCCTTGTTCACAAACAGTGACACACACCTATATACATGAGTGTGTGTATACAAAATATATTTATATTATATAAAATATTTCTATGTGTAAATATATATATATGCATACACAATCACACATATATACACTACTATGCATATACATATATGCAAACACACATATATAAACAAAATTACATACATATTCAAGAATGGAACTGCTGCTTGGTATTGCATGAATATCTTCAATTTTACTAGATATTGTAGAATTGATTTTCAGATGTGCTTACACTAATTTACAATCTCATATGCAACGTATGCAAGCTCTGGTCTTATACTTTCTCCACAATTTATAGTATTGTCAGATTTTTAAATGGTCTTTCAACATTTTGGGTGTTCTGTGGTATTTCATTGTTTTAACGTACAGTTACTTGATTGATAGTGAAATGAATAGACTACATATATGTCTGTTGCTTATTTTTAATTCTTCTTTAAATTACCTATTTATATTATTTGCTGTTTTTTTATTAGGCTGTTTGTATTTTACTTATTGCTTTATTAATATTCACTATATATTCTGGATACTATTCTCTTGTGTGTTATGAGTCACAGATATCTTCTTCTATTTTGTAATTTGCATGTTCTCTTTGATTTTCATCTCTTTTGTTTCAGAGTGATATATTTTGCTCTTTAGTTATGGAATGCTAGAATTAAGAAAACAATAATAATTACCACCATGTATCAAACAGTAAGTGCTGATCTTTGACATACATTATCTCTTTTAGTGCTCACATCAACCCTGTGAACAAGATCTTTATTTCCATGTTACTGATGAAGACTCTGAGATGCAGAAACTTAAGTCAATTTGCCAGAATTAAACAGTCAGGATGGTTATAAATTTAGTTCAGTTTTTTGTGACCTCAAATATATGTCTTTAGCCATACCAATAAATAAGGGCTACATAAGTCTAGGTGTGCAGGAACTGTGGAGAAGATTGGCCTAAGTGCCATACAAAATCTTCAAAATGTTCATGAAAAATATGTATTGTTAAAAAAATCTGCAAAAATTTCAAAATTGTTTTGCACCAAAATGAACTCATACCAACTTGGTATAACATGTCTGAGCAGGATCTACACTGAGGCACTAAGAAGGATAAGACATTAATTTGAAAAGAGTTTCTATCAAAGCAACATGAATTATGCTAAAATTGAAGCAAGAATAAACATCAAATTTATGGTGAATTTTGGATGGAAGAATGGTGAAATCATTGTTGCTTTATGAAAAGTTTATGGGAACAATGCACACAAAGAAATCAGCACTTTACAGATGAATAACTCATTTAAGGGATGAGACAATGTCAAAGATGAAGCCGAATGAAGATTATCCACATCAATTTGTAAGAAAAAAATAATCTTTTTCATGCCCTAATTGAAGAGGACTGATACTTAGCAGAAACAATAGCCAACACCATAGACATGTCAATTGGTTCAGCTTACAGAATTCTGACTGAAAAATTACAGTTGAGCAAATTGTTTGCTCAGTGGGTATCAAAACTGTTGTGATAAGCTGCAGACAAAAGCAGAGCTTTCAATGAAAATTTTCAACATGTAGTATCAAGATCCTGAAGCATTTGTTGAAAGAACTGTAACAGGAGATGAAACATGGCTTTACCAGTACAATCCTGAAGACAAAGCACAATCAAAGCCATGGCTACCAAGAGGTAGAAGTGATCGAGTCAAAGCAAAAGTGGATCAGTCAAGAGAAAAGGTCATGACAACAGTTTTTTGGGATGCTCAAGGCATTTTGCTCGTTGACTTCCTGAAGGACCATAGAATGATAACATCTGCTTATTATGAGAGTGTTTTGAGAAAGCCAAATCTTTAGTGGAAAAATTCTCAGGAAAACTTCACAAGAGGGTCCTTCACCACCACGACAATGCTCCTGCTCATCCCTCTCATCAAACAAGGACAATTTTGGGAGATTTTTGTTGGGAAATCGTTAGGCATCTACTGTGTATTACTGATTTTGCTACTTTTGACTTCTTTTTTTTTTTGTAATCTTAAAAAATATTTAAAGTTACCTTTTATTTTCAGTTAATAATGTTAAAAAGACTGCATTGACATGGTTAAATTCCCAGGAACCTCAGTTCTTTAGGGATGGATTAAATGGCTTTCAAAAGTGTCATTGCTTACAAAAGTGTCTTGAACTGGATGGGATTTATGCTGAAAAATAAAGTTTATTTATTTATTTTTTAAATTTTTATCTTTTAATTTTGTTTTTCCACAAACTTTCTGAAGTACCCTTGTACACATATTGTGGGTGTGAACATAGTGGTATTGAGGAGAGTATCGCACATTTATTCATTCTGTGTTTATCTATCCATCCATCCATTCATTCATCCATTCAGTCATTGAACTTTTACTGAGATTCTAGTATGTTCCAAGTATGTTAATGAACACAGAAGTAATCAGATGAATCAGAGAATCTGTGCTCAAGTTTTTCTTCCACTTATATGGAAGAGTTGTGATCTGTGGCACAGAAGTAAAAAGTGTAATTCAATTTAAACCCATGGCATGTATAAATAAATAAATAATAAAAGTAAGAGCAAATAAATCAACCACATTTACAATAGGAAACAAATAGAAAATATAAATAAAACCCAAAGCTAGGTCTTTGAGAAGATTGATAACATTAAAAACCTCTAGCAAGACTGAACAGTAATGATAGGAGACACACATTACCAATATCAGCAATAAAATAGGTTACATGACTAACATACTATGGATAGTAATATAGTAATAAGGGGATATTACAAACAATTTTATACCCTTACATTTGACAACTTAGATGAGATGGACAAATTTCTTTTTTTTTTAAATTTATTTTTATTTTACTTCTCAATATACATTGTAGTTGATTTTCATGCCCCTTTACCTGTTCCTCTCTCCCCGTCCCCTCCCAACATATCTGTTCACTTGACTTAAATATTTCAAGGAATTTTTGTGGTTATTCTGAGATGGACAAATTTCTTGAAAGACACAAATTACCAAAGCTCTTTCAGAAGAAATAAACTAAATAGTTTTACATATTTTCATTGAATTCATAGTTTTGAAACCTCCAAACGAAGAAAAATTCAGACCCAGATATCTTCACTGGTGAATTCTAACATACATTTAAGAAAGAAAGAATACCTATCTTACACGAACTCTTCAGGTAATGAAACAATAGGGGACACTTCACAACTCAGTTAATGATACCAACACTAGATAAGGGCAGAAATTAAAAGAATGGAAAACTACATACCACTTGCTCATGAATATACATACAAAAATTTTCAACAAAATATTAACAAATCAAATCTAGCAGTAGAGAAAAGAGATAACATGTCATGACCACATAGGTCTATTCTAGGAATAGAAGACTGGTACCACATTCATGAATTGATTAATGTAATTCCCTCTACCAACAGACTAAAGAAGAAAAAAAGAAAAAAAACAAGAAAAAACCCACATTTGTTCCTTCCCATGGATGCTGCAAAAACATTTAACAAAATTCAGCATCAATTTATGACAAAAGTCTTAGAAAATTAGGAATAGAACTAATTTACCTTAATAAATGGCATCTACAGAAATCATATGTTTAATACTAAGATAAAGGCTGAAAGACTGAAAGTTTTCCTTGTAAGAATTGAAACAAGGCTAGAATCCTTATTCTCATCCTTCTTTCTCAACATTGTACTGAAAACCCCAGCTAATGAATAAGGCAAGAAAAAAGGCATATGGGTTAAAAAGGAAGGAAAAAAAGCCCCTCTGTTCATAGACAACAAAGAAGTCTATGTGGAAAATCAAATAAATCTTTAAGAATGTGGAAGCAATTAGTGATATTATCAAGGTCGAAACATGTAATGACAATATACAAAAAAGCAACTGTATTTCTATAGCAATGAACACATTAAAAATAGAAATGTAAAAAAGAGTACCATTACAACAGCGCCAAAACCCATAAAATACTTAGGTATAGGTCTAGCAAAATACATACAGGATCCATATATTAAAAACTACAAAACACTGATGAAAGCTATTAAATAGAGAGAAATACTGTGTTCATGTATTCAAGTACTCAATATTGTTAATAGGTCTTTTCTCCTCAGACACATCAATATAGTCAAAGTTATTTCCATCTAAATCTCAGTAGGTTTTTACAGACATTGATGAGCTAATTCTAAAATGTATATAGAAAAATAAAGGATCTCAAAGAGCCAAAACAATTTGGAACACAAAAAAGTTGGAGGTCTTAAATGTCAAACTATCTGAATTTCCACCTTAATATAAAGCTTCAGTAATCCAACCAGTCTGGCATTAGTAAAAGGATAAACACATAGTAGATCAATTATTTTTTTAAAAGTACCAAAAAATAGGCCCACACATTTATGGTTAATTGTTTTCCTGCAAAGGTGGAAAGGTAATTTCTTGGACAAAATAGTATTTACAACAAATAGTGCTGGGACAATTACATGTACAAAATATGCAAAAACTAAACTTTGATACATGTATCACTGTAGGAATGCTGGTCAGAACTCACTCTATCCTTTTGGCCTTCAGAACTCTGGCTTCAATAGCTACAATCTTTCCCCTGCACAGGTTGCATAGTAACTGAGAAAGTGAAAGGGGCAGAATGCTATACTTGTGTGCGATAAGGGGAATGATGCCGGCAACCCCAAGGATAGGCAACAGGAGGTTGTGAGGCACCTGGGAATCTTCCACTTCCACAGCTTTTCTCTCTTTGGTATAGCTCCACTTTTGTCCCTAAGTCCCTTATAAGCTTCAATTTCTCCCCCTTTCCTTCTACTCTTCCCTGCCCTGGGGTTGCAGAGAAAGCTACTGTGCAGCACTTGGATTGATAGTCCACTCCCTGTAATGATCCATTCCCGGTAAGCAACCACCATCACTAATAATAATAATAACAACAACAACAACAACAACAACAACAACAACAACAACAACAATAACAATAATAAACTCTCTGTAAA